TTTTTTTTTTTTTTTTTTTTTTTTTTTTTTTTTTTTTTTAAATATTTCTTACTTTATTTATATATATATATATATATATATATATAAATACATATAAAATCTTTAAAAAATATATATTTTTATTATGGTATTTATAAATTAATGAAATAATTAAAATTACTAACAGTTATTAAAAATATATGATAATTTTATTAATTGCATTGTAGTATATATATATATAGTGTTATTTAAGTTAATAGACATTAATATTTAAAATTAAAAAAAAAAAAAAAAATAGAGGATTCATTTTCAGAATTCTACATATTTATATAATATTTTTGTATAAATGTATACATATATATATATTCATTGTAATTTGTTACAAGAATAATGAGAAATAAAAATTTCTTATTAATTTATAATCATTTTAATAACTGGTTTATTTTATTTTTATAGAACGACTTTTTATAATAAATCTTTTATAAAATTTATAATATATATTACATTATGTCATGATAATTCATATATATTTATATATATATATTTATATATATATATACATTTATATATATATATATATATTTATATATATATATATATAAATGTATGTATATGCAAAAAATTTAATAATTATTAAACTATTTTATATAAATAATTTCAAATTAAGTTTTACAAATATATTTCTTATTTACTTATTTATAAATAATACTTTTTACTCTTTTTTTTTTTTTTTTATATTTTTTTCATAAACCATTATTTCATTTTTTTTTTTCTATTTTGTCAACTCACTGTTTTTCATCTATATAAAATCTTCACATATATATGTTTTTATTTTTATTTACATCTTTGTAATATTTTTTGTTAACTATTTATAATATTAATTTAATTGATTTTTATATAAAATGATAAATTAACATGCTAATACTTTTTTTAATTAATTTGTGATTGATATATAAATTTTTTAAAAATTAAAAAGATTGATTTTTATAAATTTAAAATAAGAAAAAAAAAATGATATTCATGAATATACATAAATATATATGTTCATATATATTTTTAAATTTATTTTTACAAAACATATATAAGAATAAATAGTAGTAAAAAAAAAAAAAAAAAAGAAATTTTTATTAGACTTAATTATTTTTATAGATATTTTTAAAATAGGCAACTTTTAACAAATTTTTTTTCTTATACTAAAAAATGATTTTTATAATATTTTATATTTAAAGCTTTTTTTGAAAAGACACAAATTTTTAATATACACATTTTTCATTCTTTTAAATAAATAAAAGAATAATTTTACAAGATTATTATTTTGTCTATATTTAAAAAAAAAAAATTAAAAAAAAATATAAAAAAAAAATACTATAATAAATATTTTTATAATTAAATACATTACAAATAAGTAGTTCTGATTTTAATGGAAATAATACAATAACTTTCTATTTTTTTTTTTATAATCCTTTTTTTTTTTACACTTTTAATTATAATAACTAATAAAAGAAATTTTTAAAATAATTATTGAATTTTCACCTCCAGGATTTTCTTAATTTTTTTTTTCTTCTTTTAAATAATATTTTTACTTTTGACATTTTTTTAATCATATATATAATTATATTTTTAATATATTATTCTTTGTAGTTGTATTATTTATATAATGTTATTATTGTTAAATATTCCATATAAAAAAATAAGAAAATTGAAGTAATAAACTTATTAATATAATATAAAGAATGATATTTATTCTTATAAATAATTTTTTTTCTTTTTTTTATACATATTTTTAATAAAGAAAAAGTATTTTTTTTTTTTTCTTATTTTTTCTTAAATGTAATTAGAGAATTAAAATGATCAAAAATTATGATAAAAAATACAAATTTTTTCATAACAATCATGTCATATCATTAATATATATAAAAATTAAATCAAAAAAAAAGTAACATAATAATATTTAATCAAAACACATCTAAATAAATTTTAATAAAACTTTTTATTCACAGAATTAATTTTATTATTTTTCTAAACATTATTAATAAATTTAAAAAAAAAAAAAAAAAAAAAAAAAAAAAAAAATTTAAA